ACAGTAAGCCAGGAATCAATGTAAGGGAACTGATCAGGGTGTCCTGGTGACCCAGTAACAACCTTCCAAACTGCTGGAACCAAGGCAGGGTCTAGGGAGCCCGCAGAGGGCCAGCCCACACCAAAAGAGGGCCATTCAAGCTCACAACAAGGGCAGACCTTGTCCTTTGACAATTTCACTCCATAATCATCAGAAAATCCCGAGAAAAAAAAAAAAAAAAAAAAAAAATCCCAGCATCACTGTAAGTACAAATGGCAATTACGCTTAAGGGGTTTTAACAGTCTTCTAAATTTACAGTCTCTCACACATAGATGAAACTAGAGGCCTGGTGAAAATAAAAATCTCGCTATCCGTGAAACTATCACACCTCCCTGCCCCAGGCTGTGTAGCTGTTTCATTGGCTTTTTGAGCACACAGTTATGTATAGTTGACTAGTGCTGAAAGGATCTTTATGGAACAGACTTGGACCTGTGCTTTGTATCTTGTACACTGCCCATCCAGAACATACTTTATTAAAAGTCATTATTAAAAATTTCTAACTCAGTTTAGAAAAATAACCTCTTATTCAAACTCTTAAACACCTCTTTTGTATTTCCCATACATACTGCTCCTTTTGGAGAGAGGAAAGTTTATTAGGAATTGAAACCAGGGCCTTTATACTGAGATACAACCCCATCCCTTTTTTATTTTTATGTCTTATTTTGAGACAGGGTCTCACAAAGTCACTAAATTCCCCAGACTGGACCAGAACTCACACTTCTCCTGCTTCAGTCTCCCTGAATGTTGGGCATTCACCACCCACACCCAGCTCTACTACTCTTGTTTGGTTGGTGTTTTTGTTTGTTTTCTTTTGTTTTATTTTTTGCTTCTTTGAGACAGGGACTTACTGGGTATTTCAGGCTGGCCTTGAACTCATTATGTAGCCCAGTCTGACCACCATCTTGTAGCAATCCTCCTGCCTCAGCCTCCCGAGTGCTGGGACTATAGGCATGTGCCACCAAGCACAGCCTCCTACTGCTCTTAATACTGTTTTAATCATTTTTTTAAAATAAGAAAAACAAGTTTCCCTTGATCTCAGAAGCAATTTTTCTGTTAATAATTTTAATCCTATTTTTTAAAAATAGTTTGTTCTTTTTTTGAACTAAAGGGTCAGATAATGGAACAGTTTTTAAGGGTTCTCAGCATGACTACTTGACATTTTTTTTTCAAGCAAAGATTTCAACAATAAAGAAGTTCTATTAGTTGAAAAGCATCTGAGTGGAACTTCACTCTCTGAATAGAATGATCTTGTTTTTCTCTCAATGAAACAGAACATTTTAAAAGATAAAATTAAAATTATTACATATTCCTAATAGAGATGATTAAAATAAATGCTGAAGTAATCATTTATTTTTAAAAGCATTTATTTTAATGTACTACTGATGACAGAAAATAACTCTGAGAAGAAATTCAGAAACAACAGCTAGTTTAAGCCATCGTATATAACTGCTACTTACACTTATGAATTGAATTACAGATTTATTGCTCCTATTTTCCTTCAGATACAGCATTCTGTCAACCATCAACTATTGCTGAACTAATTCCTACCATTAATATTCTTTTTGATTTGTTTATGGGCTTGCTTACTTGCTTGCTTTTTTTGAGACTGGGTCTCACTTTGTACTTCAGGCTGGCCTTGAATTTACTATGTAGCCTAGGGTGACCTTGAACTCATGGTGATCCTCGTGCCTCAGCCTCTTGAGTGCTGAGATTACCCCCCACCCAGCTATGTTGGGATTCTTACCAAAAAAGAATTTCCCTTATTCTTTATTTCTGCTAAAACAACTGTTAATCAACTGATTCTGGGCATATCATAAGAATTCATTTTTCCACATTATTCTAGTGTTTTTCTATCGATCAACTACCAAGGTTTCTTTTTTAATGGTATTACATAAACATGTCTATTTAAGCTTTATTTCTTTTTTAATGATTCTAAGTCGATTATTACTGAGGAAAGATTTCTTTAATCATTATGTTTTTTGCCCACTAAATCCCATGTTACAAATTTTCTTTATGTTTTTAAGTCTCAACTTCCAATATATTCACTCTTTAAATACAGATGCTTTCTAATTTTTAATTTTTTCTTTTTTTTCTAGAGAGGGTCTTGCTATCCTCCAGACTTAGGACTGGAACTCACAGTGCTACCTTCATCTCTCCAGTGTTGGAAATACAGATACGTAGCATCATGCCTAGCCAATTGCAGAGAATTTTATGCACACTGTTATTCTTTAAATATATAGTATAAATATATAAATATATAGTATAATTTTCTATGTCAACTAGCTTTCTTCTCATCCCCAAATACTACTTTCTTATTATCCATCATTTCATCCTTCTCTGATTTTTAAATAAAGTAGGTCCTTTTTCCAATATTAACTTCTTAACTTGTGCTCACAAATGTACTCCTTCCAATTTCCATCGACACCCCTCCACTACTGCCTTCCCATCTGCCTTCAAGAATCTATAAATCTTCCTTGATTCTAATCCATCCAACTACTATAAAACTTATTAACAGCATTTTCATCACAGAGCTTCAAATATTTCAAATGTTCCCTAAAGCATCTAGGTTATTCTTACATCTTCTGGATACATTCATAATCTTCACCACACTGACCCCAAATGGTTTTTCTATATTACTTGCCAGAAAAAAAAATCTTTGCATTTGTTTGACTGGTGTGTTTGGTTTTAGTGACTTTGCTTTTGTTTGATCTATTGTAGGTGGACTGTCTTATCCTTCAGACCACTTATTCCTTTTATTGATAGTTGACAGTGCTGAACTGCATTTTGTTACCTCTGTCTTTCTTCATTTTCCTGATTTCCAAGGTTCAGTTCAAATTCTATCTTCTGTGCGAAGCTACTCATGTGAGCCTAGACTAAACTTTTTTCTGAATTCCTGTAGATTTTATACGGTGATTCCTTATTTATCACTTAACTATAAAAACTATTTTAATTTACATTTGTATGTTTATATTTTCATTCTTTCCTTCAAACAACCTAAATAACCAACCAAACATCCAGTGTTTACTGACTACTCACTTATCAGTCACTGGTGGGTTGAGACATTATAATAATGAATATTTATTTTACCTACTCAGAAAAATGCATTATATTTCTTGAACAGATTACCATGACTGATAGTCCTGCTATTACAAGTGATCACTTATGTAGTAGTTATTATATACACAGGTGAAATGCACAAAAGATCATTCAGGAACTGGAAGATTAGCTTGATCTCAATCCCAGGTGCTGATTACTCTTAGAGTCAAATCACCCATGAATTTTACAATCATGTTTTCAAAGAAATACTTTTCAGCAGTCCCAGTATTGCCAGTACATCTGACAAGCAGGCAGAAACCTGCAATTTGTTAACACACTGAATAACTCATTATCAATAATTACTAATATACAAGGTATCCTGATACCAAAAACGCATTTTACCAGAAACACTCAGATGTCAAACTGTATAAGCAAAGAAAAAAATAACACTTTGGAACACATACAAATCTCCATGAATGCTGGTAGTTTTATTATCCAAGCACATACAAATTATTGCTTTATCCCATTACCTTCAAAGCAAGTACGTTAAAACTTTGTGTTTTACATACCTGTCCAGTCTCCTACTATTTTAAGATGGACTCCAAATGTTGCTTTTGTTTCAGTAGGGCACTGAAAGAAATATACATACTAGAATCAGTTCTGGTTGATAACTATTATTATGAGACTATGATCCCATTATAATTTTTATTCTCATAACATATCAATTATTATAGGAAAGGTCTCCAAATCAATAATAGGAAAGAGCAGTCTAAAATCTATGTAGATCTTTATTTGTAGAAGAAAAAAAGTAATATCAACCAGTCAATAAGACAATTATATTTCTTTAAAAACTCAAATATTTATGTACAACAAAAAATACATAATCTAAAATTGCTAGGATATTACATTTAACCATTTTTAGCCTGCTAAAACATCTTCCTTCAAAAAGGAAGAAATGAAAACTAAAAATTTGTATGTCTTTTTCTCCCCACATATATCATATATACTTCACAGCTAGGAAAGATACAGAAGAAAATGCTCAATGTCACATCAATTTTCTATAACCAGTTAAATATGTTCTTACTTGAAATAGTTCTATTTCATTCCCTCTTTTAATTGTCAAAACAATCTGGAGGAAAACTGTAAAGAATGAAAAGTCAAGACTTGTCATGTAGAGGTACAAGATCCCAACAATGAATGTAACTGTACTGTATCCCTAAAATGTACCAATAAACTCAATTAAAGCTGAAAAAAAAAAAGAAAAGTGAGTCTGTGGTCCCTTACATAAAAAATTTAGAAAACCTCCAGAGGGTCAACGTATGAGGATAAATTTTACTCTCTGACAAAAAAAAAAAAGGACTCCTTCTTACTTTCTAGATTTCCCTTTACTCACAATTGTGAAACTTAAAAGTCTGAATAATGAATTATTTTGTAACTCATTTGGTAGAACCTCCTGACCTGAACCTACTGAAGGCTGTTTCTACATGCAAAATTCAAAGAAAATTATTCATATAGAATTCCCAGTTTGTTAAAGAATGCTGAATCACATTGCCTGAGAAAGATTAAATAATGTATGGAATATATACACCTGTTAAAGACCATACAATTCCGAATTCTGAAAATATATTTAACCTAAGGACTATGAATCATTTTCCTCTGACGACTCAACATTTATCAAGTACCATCTGTCAAGGGCAGTGCTGTTATATTTCCAAAAATTTCGCAATAACCTTGTAGAGCTGTCTTTTATAAATAAGAAAACTGAATAATGGAGACTTAAAGATATGCCCAAGTCATACCACTAGCAAAAAAGTTAAGATAGAATTTGCACTGGGTCTAACCGGACTACCTAACCACAAGCAAGCCCCTTACTTCACTAAAGCTACAGTAAAAGAGTGAGGATTACATAAGAAATCAAGAGAGCAGAAAGAAAGAATATACTTGTTGAAAATCAGTAGAACTTATGTGTAACAGTATGAATTAGGGAAAAGAATGGAGGAAGGGCAAAGGCACAGACTGAGGAAATACGTCAGCAGTTCTGAAAAGTTCCATAAGTACAGACTGGGTTCCATAAAGGAAAGCTGAGACTTCAAAGTTCACCAGTTTTTAATGTGAGGAGATAAAAAAGATAAAGCTACTCTGGAGGTATGTTAACACACCAAAGAGGAAAAGAAAGTTGAAAATCAGTGAAAAGTTTAAATAAAAAGGTAGATATTAATAATCTGCTCATAATACATTATAAACAATCCAAAAGCATATGATCTGTGTTCAAGTATGAGATTTACTGCAGCATAGAATTTCCAACTACTTTAAAGCATTATTTCTAAGATTAGTATGAAATATTTAAATAAATTGAAATATTTTATAAACATGAAATAAACATGATTAATATTAAATTATATAATAACATGTACAACTATGATTCGGTATTTATTTCATTTACACTCTGATTTTAATAATTCTGAGAGCAACCCATTTGGTCATTAGAAAACTTTCCAATAAGATAATATCATCTGTAAAAACAACGCACTATTTTTACTCCATACTATTGAAGCTGGCTAAAACTCTGTAATAAAAATTGTAGCTTAGAGAAAGCAAGAATTTCAACAGGGTTCTGAGCCACCACTACCATAATTTAAATTTCACTTGATGTATCCTTCCTTATAAACTAAACTGTAGATTATGAAAAGATAATGTAAGCCCAGAAGATATCAGAATAGGAAGCAAAAAGACCGGCATTCTTGGGTGCTTGTTGTGCATCTGGCTTGATTTAATCTCATAATGCATTCTAAAAAACATACACATTTTGCCAAATAGTCACATTTGTGTTCTATTCTTCCAGTGCACGAATTTAAAGAGGTAATTACACATGATGTTTAACGCCCCCTTGGATCTCTAGAGGACTGCAGACCTCTAAGTGACAGCTGAACGCATCAGTGTAGCATCAGAACTTCTTCTGGTTTGGAATGCGTAAAACACAGTATTGTTTTGCTCAACTTCTTGGGAATGATACTTTTATAAGTCATTGTTCCATCTCCAGAGTAGCTAATATTAAAAGGACAGGCCTTAACATCATTTTTACCCAAGCGTGTCAACTCATTTGAAGGGGGCTTTCATAGACTAATACACAAAATAGCTTTAGTGTACGTGATATTAAAAAATGAATGATGATCTTAGAATTATATGTTAGTGTCTTTACAGAAATAATATTCAGATTCCCTGATAGTGCCTAAAGCACAGTATGTTAATTCTTTTATATTTTCTCTCTGATATTTAATAGTTTTAGAAAACTTCTCAAAAAGAACAATAATATAAATGCTGCTATCTTTATTGTTTCTCCTAGAATATTAATAAAGAAATATGCTGAAAGATGGGGGTCTAGTTTTAATCTTTGGAAAGTTGAAATCTAGTTTTTCCAAAACCATTTATTAAACAGGCTATCTTTCCTCCAGTGAGGAGGATTGCCTCCTTTGTTAAAGATGAGGTACCTGAGTATGTCTGGAGTTATTTGTGCATCTTCTAATCTGTTCCACTGGTTCTCAGGTCTGTTTCTTTGCCAGTACCGTGCTGTTTTATCACAATGGCTTTGAAGTATAATTTAAGTTGGGGATTGTGATACCCATTGCCATGCCTCTGTTGCCTAGAATGGCTTTTGCTATTTTAAGTCTCTTCTTGTTCCAAATGAATTTTTGGATTGTTTTCTCTAGTTTTGTGAACATACTGTTGGAATTCCAATAGGGGTTGCATTGAATCTGTAAAGCAGTTTTGGAAGTATGGCTATTTTCACTATGTTAGTTCTTCCTTCCCAGGGTCAAGGGATGTCTTTCCATTTTCTTATATCCTCTTCAGTCTCTTTTTTTAGAGTGCAAACTTTATTCTTATAGTCAAAATATAATCAGATAATTAAAGTGGAAGTAATTAAACAAGAACCTTGAATTGTATATTGAGATATTAAAACTGGTTAGAATGTAAATCCCTTTACCAAAGCATTCTTATCAAGGTTTTATTTTGTTTGCATATCTAAGATTTTCAGTATAATAATATAATTAACTAATATTGAGTGTTTTGCTCTGCTAGGCAGTGTTCTAAATAAATGTTTCCAGCTATCTTTCACCATGTACTAAACTAAAATCCAAGTGGATTAAAGATCTAAATATTGAAATAGAAACACTAAACTTGCTGGAAAATAAATTAGGTAGGATCATCCCTTCTGTTTTCTATGATCTCTGTGTCAATTCAGGGCTGCAGGTCACCATGACTGTTGCCTAAGAATATATATAATTTTTTTTCATGTGATTATTTTCTAAGTACCATAAGAAAAGCAAGAATTGTTGTACAGGTAAATACTGAAAAGAAATGTCTCCAAAACATTGACATAGGAAAAAACTTTATGAACAAATCCTCAGTAGTACAGGAACTAGCACAAATAATCAACAACTGGGATCGCATCTTACTATAAAGCTTCTGCACTGCAAGAGAAACCACCAACAGAGCTAAGAGACAACCTACAGTGTGGGAAAAAAATTTTATCAGCTGTTCCTCAGACAAAGGTCTACTATCTAAAGAAATCAAAAAAGTCAGACCCCCTCCACACAATATAAAGACCCAATTCAAAAATGGGCATCAGAAATGAACAGACATTTCTCAGACAAAGAAGTAGAAAAAGCAAATAAACATATGAAAAAATGTTCAACATCACTGGTCATTTGAGAGATGCAGATGAAAACAACATTGAGATTCCACCTCACCCCAGAAAGAATGGCTGCTATCAAGAAATTAACCAATAACTACTGCTGGCGGAGTTGTGGGGAGATAGGAACCCTTCTTCATTGTTGGTGTGAGTGCAGACTGGTGCAACCACTGTGGAAATCAGTATGGAGATACCTCAAAAAACTAGGATTAGAAGTCTCATTTGATCCAGTTATTCATTTGCTGGATATCTTCCCAAAAGAATTAAAAGAATCTCAGCACAATGCTCACCTATGTTTATAGCAGCATAGTTTGTAATAACTAAAACTTGGAAACAGCCCAATTGCCCATCAACTATAGACTGGATAAAGATGTGTCATTTTTTTATAAAATGGAGTACTACTCAGCCATAAAAATTAGAAACTAGAGACATTTATAGCTAAGTGGATGCACATCGAGGCCATACTCTTAAGTGAAACTAATAGGACACACATGTGTAAATACCAAATAGTTTCTCTGGTATGAAAAACTAAAAGTGTGAATAAGGATTAAAATGTATAATTGATATTGCATAACAGGAAGAAAAGTTTTAAAGGAGTAGGGGAAGTGGGAGGGGTGGGGCAAAGGTTAGAAGGGTAAAGAAAAAATATGAGAAAAGAAAAAAATGGAAACAGTCTTTGTAAATAGGGAAGGTTGGAGGTAGTGAAGGGAGGGCAGGGGAATGGGGAAAAAATAAGAACCAAGATAACATCGTATAAAGGTACAAGATCCCAATGATGAATGTAAATGTATTGCATACCTAAAATTTACCAATAAATGTAATGAAAAAAAAGAAAAAAAAAAAAGAAGTATGCCTATGATAGTATTTCAGTTAAACAGAAATATGTGTGGTTAAGCTCACATTAAAATAAAAAAGCTGACATAAAATAAAGTGAAATGAC